GTAGCATTGTCGCTACGGCCGCCTCTCCAATGACTGTTGACAGTCGTTGGAGCGCCTCCCACTCTGGGTCCGCCAGGTGGGGGCAGTCTGAACACGCCACATGCGTGGCAGACGTGGTTGGACTTCCGACGGTTGACCCGTCCATCGAAAGGTTCTCTTGCCCATGTTCGTAACTCATACGAACAAGGTAGTCGGTCGTTGGACGGACTACAAAGTGCTATCAGGTGTAGTGGGCCTAGGGCTCACTAGTTAGCTTACGTGTGTGCGCACGTGTAGGAGGAAGCGTAGGTATTCCTAGTTTGTATAGTGTACACACGATGCGTGTGTACAGTAAGACAAGATAGGAACAAGATAGTGTAAAATGAGAACTGTATTGTTTGCTGTGTTTTCCTTCCTAAACTGATGTTTCCTTCCTAAACTGTTTATCAAATATCTAAGGGACTGTCATCGAGTGGCTGACAGCGATCTGCAGCGCTGATTGGTAGAGGTGTGGCGCACTCTATCAATAGGATCGCTTTATATGCAACCTTGATGTACTTACACACTAAGATAGGAAACCTCTAACTCTAACCGGTTAACGTTGCGGTTAGAGTTTTGTGTAACCCCGCTACAATGGTCAACACTAAAACGAACCCCAGAGAGGCTTAACAACACTGAACTACACGTTTACACTTGTTATGATGACAGTAAGCAACTAACAGATAAATTGGGACTCCTACAACTACTGGAAACCCCGCATTTACATTCAAACCACGTTGACATCACACGTCCTACGCGTTGATACCTTATACAAGTATGGAACAGCGCTAATAACTTAGGTACGCGTGGTATGAATACCCATGTACAGCGTGGAAGCCGTTCACGACATACATCCGTTATCAAGCGTCAAATCAGTGTGTATGGCGGTTTCCAGTGCAATTCAACCTCATTAGGTGGAAATATAATCACCACACGAAAGCTTGTTACGAAATGGGCACATATACTAGTACAAACTTGGTACGACACCATATAACCTGTGAGCACCCCAGAGAAACAGAAAATGTAAGCAGGAGAAACAAACGATTGAGTATGCGCGTTTGAGGGTATATATTCACAGTACCTTCGCGTTGTCCATTTTCAGAAGCCGATGGGCATTTGTGTGCTTTAAGTTGGATCCTTTGAGCCTATTACGATTGGAAAGAACCTCCCAGTTCCTCCTTACTCATCCATAATTAGGAACTAGGCGATTTTTTTTCCTCCGCGTCGTGAGATGTATGCTCCAAGGATGACTGGTTGCTGCAGAAAGTAAGTTTGAGTAGGTTTGATCTGACACAGGGTTTGCCCTTGTTTTGCTCTTCTCTCAGCCAATAGAAGATCGCGATTTGGGCTGATACTGGATACATCGCGATGGGTATGCTCACTTTCGTTGCTGTTTTGTAAGTTATTCGTTCATTTCTGTACCTTCGAGAGCAAACAGGCTTACAACATGAAAAAATTGAAAGGTACAAAAGTATACTTTAGTCAAGTCAACCATTATTCTGTATAACACAGAATAATTCTTCGGGCTACAAGGGTTAAGCAATATATTATTTTTAAAGACTTCTGTTTGTTCGCTTCAAACACATATAAATTTGGAGCTACGGTTTGATGTAAAATTCTGGGGAGTTGTGATAAAATGATGATTATTCGTAATGAAAACGGATGTTTCATTTTGGCGGTGAGGCAGTGTTTGTTGTAGATACAGTATGGGACCTCTGCCTGGGTTTCTCGTACTTCTCCTCTTTCAGGACTGCGGGAGGATTAAAATGGTAGTAGCCAAAGGGAATAAAAATATTACTTAACGGCAAGTCTCAAGTAGTTTAGTGGTGCATACAAACTGAGGTCCAGAAAACCTCCAATACGATTCAACTGCGAAGAAAAACTTCACAGCGAGATCGTTGATACCTGCAGACGCAATATTGTGGTGGATTTCAATTGAGAATTCCCAATCTGTTTTGAGTAAGGCACATTCAACTTTACTTCATATATCCAACGGGTGAGGTCTCTATGCTCATTACAGGCAGCTAAAACTTAAATAACTGCGAAAACTATTCACAACTTACAAACTATCCATAAACGAGATGTATGGGTATGTAATAACGTCCGCTCAAACAGTGCAAACTGTTTTGTCTTTACATGTTAGACAGTGGTTGCCTAAAGACAAACTCAACAGTTCATATAGTAGTAGTGCACATGCAACAAATAGTACTTGACGTAGTTTTTTAAATACTACTAAAGCGAAATAAATAGTATTCACAACAGTCTAATGATTTGAGCCTGTCATGCGCTATTATCAGAATCCGAATAATAAATCTCAATGCTCGAGGTTGATTTATGGAAATTCCACGTAAATTTTCCGCAGCGTTCACCAACGTACGATATCGTCGACCATGAACTTATCGGCCGGCTGACACGAGTCGTGTCACACAACCGATTCCCTAAACAGCATGTCAGTCATCAATATACGTACGCTATAACGTCGATCGTGAACTATATCCAGAAAATTTTCACTCGCTCGAAGTCGACCTTCTTCACTATAAATAGTGCCTATCGAGTCATGGTACAACTTCGCTCATCTAGAAGGTATTCAGTGATCAGGTGGGCACAGAGTCTCCATATTTGTCGATCCTATTCCCCATTTCCAGCTTTTCTGCAACAGTCTTAGACACTCGTCCAGTGCCCATATATGAAAGTGGGTGGTGGGCCAGACTTGGTATCATGAATACCAGGACATCAAATACTAAAGGTAGTCAATATTACAGGTTAAACTGTATATATTTGATGAGCGTAATCGCGAAGTGAATACCACACATTTAATATGTGGGATTTGAATCCATTTTTAAATTATTTTTGGTAAAATTTAAATTGCTCTAGTTTTAACGCCAAACATGTGAGTTAATGTACATCATACCCGTATTTCTAATAAGGCAATATCTTCATTGTGGTCGATGCAAGCTTCAGGTTGATGATAATGATCTGGTCTGGATCAAACAAATGATTCAACACAAGCTATGAAGTGTTCTACTTCAAAAGGTATCAAAAAGCCTGGTCCTCGACTGCTTTGACTAGATTTTATCCCTCCAAAGTTATCGTACAATTGACAAAATAACGCATCCGAGGCAACATCCCCGATGTTCTCTACGAAAACTGCGTCACCTCAACAACATCGGGTATTGTTGAGGAATTGCGTACCGGTATGGATTGCTCTTTGACGACAAGTAAAATCGTTACCATTTTGGTATTTGCCCTCCCTCGCTAAAGTTCACATCACCCCAGGTCCTAACCATGCGTCTGTCTCAAGTGTTATTTGTGTTCGCAGCGTCCTTCGTGTTTACCAGCGACGCTATATCCGTTTTGACGCAAGCTAACCACGTCCAAGTTACTAAAGTATCGTCGACCGGTGACCAACGGCTTCTACGGGCTCACCGTCTTCCTAGCGATGAAGAAGTGGAGTCAGACGACGACTCTTTGGAAGAAAGGATGTACGGTCTTAGCGCTGAAGCAGAGCGCAAACTAATAGCTTTCGCTAACTCATTAGGCGTAGACCTTGAGAAAGCGATGACGAATGCCACGTATATGGCCTCGTTTCAGCGATCAAAAGAGTACGGAGAGTACCTAACGTTTCTCAACGCATTGAAGAAAGAAGCTCGACTGAAGAAGACCCCACGGTTTAGATAGAAGTGAAACCACCATCAAGGAATCATGCTGGTCGCAGTTTCTGTGGCGAGCCCTGAACAAGCAACATGTGAACTCATACAAAATGGCAATGTGGTCATATGAAGACTTTAGCAAACTCAGTTAATACATAACCACGTTGTGTCGATGCCTTCGTTGCGCCAAATATAATGTAACATGTCCCAGTACTATGTAGTAGTAGATTTCAGTGGGAAATTTTTACGTGTCAAAATACCAGTAAACTAATATTAATTGGGGCGGAGCCCATTATGCTGTTGCAGCTCCAACATGAAAAAATCTGGTTAAGCCTCAATTTAATTTTTAGCATGTATACATTATGCAGTGCTGCGGTGCGGTGCGCGGGACTGGGTATATACGGCGGGCAGAACCACAATTCAAATTCAAATTCAAACACTTAACCCTCAATACACTTAACCTTGGCTCATTCCTTGAATAACTTCGGCTGGAAAGGAAAGAATTACCGAAACATCCGTATTCTATTAAAATATTATATCGTCGTTCATTACCAAACTCCAGAGAAATGTTGGTTGGGCGCCCTTGGTCGATGCCATATCCATTTTGGGCGAAATCTGTATCAGGTATAGTGTATGGAATTAATTAGGAACCAAGTCGGTCCGCCGAGTTGCCATCGTGTATATCAGGATATCAGGTATGAGAGAGCGTAATTAAGAGAGGTTTTACTGTAGTGTTAAAGGGAGAGAGAGATTCAACATATTATTGTCACTTCGACCTAGGGGAACCCTAAGCGTTAGTAAATACTAGAAAACAGAGGTTCTGAAACTTGTAATCGCTGGGGTGTCCCTCGTAATAATTTTTGGAAAAAGTGGATGGAATAGTTTTCTCGAGCGGAAAGGTTGGCTCCCGAGTGCAGACAAGTTTTGCAAAAATCCGGAGAGTGCATCCAGTGCACACAGTAAAGAGCTTTTGCCGTCAATTCATTACCATGTATACGTTTGGGAGAAATCAAACAATATTACAGTTATAGACAAGCGCTAATACCTCCAGACCGCCCGTAGGGTGTGCCTGCCCCAAGGGAAGGTAGGGCGGGGTTTTGTTGTGCTCAGCCGGCGGCGACTTGAAGAATGCTTGCAGGAGACGCCCTCGCACCGGGAGGTTTCCTGCAAGTATTATTCAAGTCGCCGTCGTTTCCTGGCTACCAATACGGCACCCTTTCTTCCAGATCCTGAAACACCTATTACACTATCTTTTTATGGGCAATGTTGTCACTTAGCGATACTCACTCACGTCTCTAATACTAACGACTACAAAGATCTGGCCCTCCAGTTGCCTTATACATCAACTGGTGGGTGGGGCACCTACAGTTGGTGTGCCTCCATCACTTTTGCTTTACTCAGCATCCATGTCCGGCATGTTTGCCCTATTTTCTAGAAAGGCATCTCGCCACTGATCAGTGTCAGCACTCACCAAGTGTACCACACTTGCCCATGGTTGAATCCGTTCCGGTTGTTCCAACGAAAATATTTGTCGGCTCACGCAGTCATCCATTGCCATGTTCGCCAACTTGTCGGCTGCTCTGTTATAATTTCGCAAGTGGTAGGTCCAGGTAGGTACCTGAAGTCTATCCGCCATTCCGCGACATTGATCATATAGTTTGCGCAAATGCGGTGCCTTTGGTGATCGTCTTGCTCTTAGTTGAGCCACAATTCTGTTGCTATCCCCAACAATATGTATCCCTTTGAGGCGGAGCTCTACCGCCCTCTGCAATCCAATGTGTAGCCCACGATATTCCCCTATATTATTTGTCGTACGAATAGATGCCAGCGATATATTAGCCATCCATAATACTTTTTGTGCCGGCCTTTCAGGTGACAGAGTGACCAGCAGACTACCCGCCCCACCTGGCCCTGGGTTACCTCTGGAGCCCCCATCAAAATATAGAATTGTGATAGTTTGGGTAATGCTAATCGTAACACCGTAACAACACCCACATGTTGTTTCAGCAACGCCGAACACATCAACTCGGCTGCCTCTTTTCTTCCTTTTGATGCATTTGCGGTCACTACCAATCTAGTGTTGATGTACGCCTGTCGTAATCGACCATGGAGAAGAGAAATGGCTCTGTCACTAGATAAATCAGCAGTATGATCAAAGTATGACGCTTTCCGCACCCAAATAGCTTGGAGTGTAGTGACAGCTCCGATTGTCCACGATATTTCAGCTACTGCATGCACGCACTGCTGAATCTCAGATTTGTCACTTAGCGGTATGTTCTGGTAAGGTTTGTCATATATTTCCCATATACTGTATGGTACAGCAGACATCTTTAATCCAAGCAAAACGTTTGGTTTGAAAAACCATTCTGGACTACCTAATGACCTCCATGGAGCAAAGAAGACTCCCCAAAGCTTTTTGGCTCCGGAACATGCCCAAAACAAATGAGCGACTCCTACTTCACGTGAATTACACTCTTGAATACAACATCCAGGACACTGCTCTGTAGAGTCCCAGTGTGTAAATGCATGAAATTTAATCCGGTGGAGTAATTGTTCACCCCATGGAGAGACCCCCACTAGCTGCCGGATGCCTATCCATGATACGGTATCAAGTGCTGTTCCAATTGTTTCGGAGTCAATGTTCCATGATGTGCCTCGTCTACTTACTTCAAGAACCCCACGCCGCCTTGCTGCTGCTGTGGCCGCCTCCTTCCATCCTCGGCGGTTTTGTCGCCACCGCTTTTTGCATGCCCACAGGTACACACATCTACTCAGGCTGGGGTGCGGATGCACCGCAGTGATCTGAACATCAATCCCAGCAAAACCCTGTATCGCATTTAGCAGATGTGCTTCAGAACGCACCGATATCACAGCATCTGAATCCATCATCGCTGTTTGAATTGATATTCGTTGAGTGTTATTGATATCTGGATCCATAATTGGGACAACCAGAGGGTTGTTCTCAGGGTGGGCAGTAACTTTTAGTCCATTTCTACTTCTTATCGGATAGATCAGCTCCGGATAATTGCTAATTAGAAGCTCAACAAGGCCCCGCATATTTGGTACCATTCCGTCAGTAGGATCAGTGAATGTGATCAGTCCAGGTGATATCGTTTCCCATTTGATAATCCGACTAAGGCATGTTGTTCCATACGCTTGCGCAGTGGAGCACCAATCCAGCGTGGTATAGCCGCGTGATCAAGGCAATTGATCTAGATGACGTACATCCATAAATCCAAGCCATTCACGTCTCAGCTCTCCATAATTCTTGCGTATGAACTACCTGCATTCGGGCGATACAGCTCCGATCAAGGTCCGACCGTCTATCATAACAGGAATCCCCCAATCGACATCATTCGGGATTGCAGATTTGACCTTCTGCAAAAATGCAACAACGACTTCCACGTGTCCTTCCACTAATAGTTTACCCCATAGTGAGCTATCATGATCGCTCCCACTTTGAACGATGTTTGCTGTTTTCCAAAACATGCAGTAGTCCGAGGAGCGTAGCCCGGTGTTATATTTTCCGATGTCGGTATTGAGCTGAGATTGGAAGCATCCAGTATGTCCCCGACAATTTTACCGATCCGAGTCGAGTCGCTTGCCCAGTGCATTGCAGTTACCGCTGCCATGGCTATCAACTCTGCTCTCAAGTTTGGTAACCTAATCCTCCCTCTTTCCGAGTGAGACTCACTACATCACACGATATCCATGCTCTACTACAGCCATTCTCTACGTCGGAAGACCCATACCACACGAAATTATAGGTGCACTTCGCCAATCGATTTACAATCGCGGTTGTGGGCCATGAATGCCGTCCAACGTACAACAAAGCAGGGATAATTACCGCCGCCGCAATCATCGACCTTTGCTCAACCGTAAGTGTGCGATAGATTGCTAGTCTTAACCGGGTCCGAACTTTACCTTCCGCAAATATCCAATTATCTTCGGTTGTCATTGCATTCCCAACCTGGATGCCTAAATATCTGGCTGTGACTTGATTATCCTGGTAGTGAAACCCTTCTGGTAATGGTGCCATCTCACCGGTGGCGATACCATCATTGAGAGTAACAACGATGGTTTTGGATTCGTTGATGACTAGTCCCGAAGCGACCCCAAAGGGCGAGGTCGTGCTCAGTAATTCCACCATGTACGAACCATCATGTAGATACACCGCTGTGTCATCAGCGAAGCCTCCAACTTTCAGTTCATGGGAGTCCATCTCAGTCTGTAGGGTAACTCCACGAATCGTATCGGTCTTTTCCATACATTGGTACAAAGATTCAAGCGCCAGAATGAACAAATATGGCGCTAATGGGCATCCTTGACAAATACCTCGTGTAACAGCAACTGTTTGTGACAGCTTGCCATTTATGAGAAATTTTACAATTGTTCCTGTATGCAGAGCTTCAA